GAATAGTGTATATTGAATATTTTATATTGAATATTATATATTGAATAGTGGATATTGAATATTTTATATTGAATAGTGGATATTGAATAGTGTATATTGAATAATGTATATTGAATAGTGTATATTGAATATTATATATTGAATATTTTATATTGAATAGTGGATATTGAATAATGTATATTGAATAGTGGATATTGAATAGTGGATATTGAATATTTTATATTGAATATTATATATTGAATATTTTATATTGAGTAGTGTATATTGAATATTTTATATTGAATAGTGTGTATTGAATATTTTATATTGAGTAGTGGATATTGAATATTTTATATTGTATATTGAATATTGAATATTTGATATTGAATAGTGGATATTGAATAGTGTATACTGTATATTGAATATTATATATTGAATCTCCTCTTGCCCTGGAGTCCCTGGCAGCCCTCCCATGCTCCAGCCCTGCTCTGGCTGTGGGCCGAGCCCCTTTGTGGCCGTTTGTCCTCCTCCATCCAACCTCACCCGTGAAACTCCCTCCACAAAAAAACCCCTCTTGGAAAGCTGGAATTCCAACTGAACTGTGCCTTTTTTTTTTCCTTCCCCTCTCTCCCTGCTGCAGCATCTTCCCCTCAGCCGACCAGGAGAACACTACAGCCCTGATTCCTGCCACGCACAACACGGGCGGCTCCCTGCCCGACCTGACCAACATCCACTTCCCTTCCCCGCTCCCCACGCCGCTGGATCCCGAGGAATCCACCTTCCCAGCCCTCAGCAGCTCCAACAGCACCGGGAATCTTGCTGCCAACCTGACTCACCTGGGCATCAGCACTGCCAGCCAGGGTGAGACCCTCGCTCCCCGGGGGCAGGCGGCACCTGAGTTTTGGGGCTGAAACGGTGGAATTTTCGTCGTAGGATGTTCCTGTTTCTTCTGGGAGTTAATTGCACCTCGCTGCTGATTGACTTTTCTTTAGAAACAGGTTTTATAGGTACAAAACAAAAAAAAAGTGAGAAAGCTCACTTTTAGTTATATTTAGTTAGAGGACATTTCTCTCACGTTCTTGGTACCCAAATCTGCCTTTTTTGGGTTTCTTTTGAGGTTTTGTTTTCTTTTTGTTTGTGCATGTGGTTTTCTTTTTTTCTTTTTTTTCTTTGTTTTATTTTTGTTTGTTTTGTTAGGTTCAGGTTTTATTTTGTTTTGGGGTTTTGTTTGAGTTTTTTGGGTTTTTTTAGGGGGGGAGTTTCATTTATTCATTTATTTATCTATTTATTCATTTATTTATTCATTTATTTATTCATTCATTTATCTATTTATTTATGTATAAAACAAGAGTTTAATATATTAGTTTTAATATATAATACTAGTT